GAGCTGCCAGGAGAAACCAGCTTCTCCTTCTCCCGGCCCGGGCAGGCGGGGGCTTTTCCGGCCGCTCTTCCAGGGATCACAGTCGGGACGGGGAGGGGGGAGGAGTCTCCGCCCCGGAGGCGGAAACGCTGGAGCCCAGAAAAAGAGGGGGTCCCTGGGTGGGCGATTCTGCCACTGGTCCTGCCTAGTTGGGGTGTGCGGGAGGCGGAAGGAGGGCTGTCCCTCCCTCTGCGGGACGGAGGAGGGTCTCTGATGCCCTGAAGTTGGGGCAGGACCTGAAGGAGTGGAAAGGGGTAGGAGGGGGCGGGAGGCCTGCCGGGAAGAAGCCGCTGGAGTCAGACAAGTAGGTCACGGCCTGCTTAGCGCAGAGGGCCCAGGCCGGAAGGAGGGGCGGGAGGCGGGGGCGTTCCCGGGGTTCCCGCCCTCCTTTTTTCTCTTACCAAACCCAAATGATCCTGCTCCAGGGAAGGTTGAGGTCGCAACAGAGGACACGCGTTTGAGGCCTTTAGGAAAAGAGGCAGGGGCTGTGGGTTTGCTGTTTGAAGAAAGCAAACAGCTTTGGAGTCTCAGAACAGTTCTCTCACTTGCTCCCCACTTCACCTCCATAAAGTCCCTAAAAGGCCAAGTCTCCTGCCCTCCCACAGGGGGTCTAAGCTGAGGGGTCTAGACTTTACCTGAAAAGAAGGCAACCGTCATCAATTAGCCTTTCTCCCCCAAGTCTCTTCCACTCTACCACTCCAGTCAGTGGCTTCTGTGCGCCTAGGGAGCTCAGGGGACCATTTCCCAGAGGCTTCCCAAGAGAGAAGCTATTGCAAAGAGAGAAAGATGAGAGCCTCTTTTTTTCATAAGTAGGTTCATTTCACTTTCAACCAGAAGATTCCTGGCTAAGCAGAGCCAGGAGTCACACAGCAAGGCTCTGTTTTGTTCCATGTCCGCCTACTTCTCCAGTCTCATCTGGGTCACTCTGCCCCAGCTCCACACACCAGCTTTTGGCAATGTCTTCAAGATCCTAGACGTTCTACCCTTCCATCCACCACATTTCAGGGACTCTTAAACACATAGCCAACCCATCACTGGCTCTTTCATGTCCCATTTTCCCCTGACCACCTTCTACTTAACTCTGAGCATCTGCCAGGAATCGTAATATGTTGAGGATGCAGTTGATTAAAAAGATTCAGTCCCAGCTATTATGAAGGAGATCAAAATTTGGCAGCAAATTATTGTCCAATGTGGTGGCTGCTCTAACAAAGATATAGAGGGGGTGCTCAAAGGAGGAGAGGTTAAAAGTGCCTGAGGGCCTGGGAGGGATGGAGGAGAAAACTCAGATTTGAAAAGTGAGAAAAGGAAACTGTGCCTGACCAAGGACTAGGGCAGTGTCCAGTTCCATGTTTCCAGAGCATGTCCAGTGAACACATGAATCCATCCAAGGCAGTGGCAGCCTCTCTAGATCATGAGCCAGTACAGTGCCAGGCGTATCTTAAGGGCTCAACAGGTAAAGGGCTAGTGCAGGACCGACATCTTTCAATGTGGAGGGGAAAATTCCTCTCTAAAAGCTCAACTAAAAGCATCTTATTTCACATATCTCCAGGTCATGGAATTGAGGGGAAGAGGCAGGACAAATTCCAGAAGAGGACTGGAGAGGACGTGGGATGACCACAGACTGCATAATGCACATGGCATAAATCTGCACACACTAGCTCCAGGGTACATGCCTGTGTAATACATGATAACCTCTTAGGAGTTAAAGAAATCGTGGAACCAAGGAAAGGAGTGGAGAATTAAAGCCTTAAGGAAAAGGGAAGGAATGTGTGCAGTCTCTCCACTTGCGGACAAGGTCAAGGGGGGGAAGAACCCCCTTCAACATTTGTTGGGTGTCCAATGTTTGCCAGGAATCGTATATGTGTTGAGGATGCAGTTGATAAAAAAGATTCAGTCCCAGCTATTATGAAGGAGATCAAAATTTGGCAGCAAATTATTGTCCAGTGTGGTGGCTGCTCTAACAGAGATACAGAGGAGGTGTTCAACGGAAGAAAGGTTAATAGTGGCTGAGGGCCTGGAAGGGATGGAGGAGAAAACTCAGATTTGAAAAGTGAGAAAATCCATAAGGCAAGGACGAATTAAAGGCATTCCTGAGAAAGACGGGGAGTTTGGGTGGGTGCAGAGGGGCGGAGAAAAGCTGTGAAAGTCTTAAGAAAATCTCTTTCTAGAGCCATTGTTTGTCTCTGGGTTGAGTGACTGAGGGGTCCTTTGCCTGCTTAAAGCCTCTGGCTGCTCCCTGATGCTCCTTTTGGGCCAGTCTACCTTTTTTTCTGAAACTCTTTAGCTCTTATTTCAAGTTTCCTTCCAGCGTGGCAGGGAGTGAGTCCTCTGAGCCCAGCCACTCAGTGTTCACTCACTTGTTCCCTACTCTAGCTCCATAAAGTCCCTGAAAGGTCAAGTCTCCTGTCTTCCCACAGGGGCTCTAAGAACACCCTCCCCTCCTCATCTCTCCCCCACATATTCCTACAAGAAAAAGGACACCAGGGAGAATGGACAGGACCAGAACCAGACAGGGTGATGAGCAGACACAGAAGTACAAACCCTGAGGCTTAAAAGTAATTGGCCAAAGTTTTGGTGGGACAAACCCACTGCCGCTGATGATAAGGAATATTTTCTTTGGAGGTTTAAAATCAATTTTATTATTTATTTATCCTCTGGGTGATTTCTTTGGAAAAATCAATTTTAAAATGTTATGGTCAGACTTTTCAATACACAAGTTCATGAGCTAAATAAAAAATAAAATTTTATTTCCAAAGTATTCAATTAGGGAACAAATTGATAAAACAAAGTTAGTGCCAAATGGATTCATAATCCTACCTCCCGGTGGGGGAAAATCACTGTTAGCAAATATATATGTATATTACACACATACACACACCTCCAGATGTATCTATATTTACTTAGATATAATGCTAATATACAGAAAAGTACATATAAGTGGACAACTAGATAAATTTTCACAATATAAACACAGTTGTATAACCCCCATCCAGAGTCTTTGTTTGTTTTGGTTTAGGTTTTAAGTTGGAGTCTTATTCTGTCGCCCAGGCTGGAGTGCAGTGACACACTCACTCACAGTTAACCCAGCATTGACCTGCTGGGCTCCGGCAATTCTTCCGCCTCAGCCTTCCAAGTAACTGGAACTACAGGCACACGCTACCATGCCCAGCTAATTTTTTTTTATTTATTGTAGAGACGAGGTCTCACCAAGTGGCCTAGGCTGGTCTTGATCCCCCAGGCTCAGGCAATCCATTCACCTCGGCCTCCCAAAGTACTGGGATTAGAGGCTGAACCACAGAGCCTGGCCCCTAGAGTTTTTTTTAAAGGAACAAACACAACCAATATCCAAAAGTGCTTATTATGCCTTCCCGTGAGTCGTTATTCCTTCCTCTTCAAAAGTAACATCCTAGGGGAGGGAGGAATGGGGAGTGACTACTTAAAAATTCTAGAACTGGATAATGATGATGGTTACACAACATTGTGAATGCATCAAATACCACTGTACACTGTAAAATGGTTAAAGTGGAATATTTTATGTTTTGTGTAACACACCACAATTTTTAAAGATGATTAAAATAAAAATATATATAGCCAGAGTTCTGACTTCCAATAGCATGTATCAACTTGGTCTACTAAATTTTTTATAAATGGAATCATAATCTTTTCTGTTTTTTAAACACAATGTTAATGAGAACCATGGACATTGTTGAATGTAGCCACAGTTCCTTTATCTTCAATGTTGTAGAATATTTCATTGTACGAATAGACTATTGTTTATCCATTTCACCACTGGATATTTGAATTGTTTTCTATTTTAGACCATTAAAAATAATACTGCCATGAACATCCTTGTTCATGCTTTTGGTGTAAAAATGCAGTCATGTGCCATATAACAACGTTTCACTCATATCTTTTTTGTTTGTTTGCTTGCTTTCTTGTTTGGTTTTTGAGTTGAAGTCTCACTCTGTCGCCCAGGCTGGAGTGCAGTGGCACACTTGCAGCCACCCCAGCATCAACCTGCTGGGCTCTGGCGATCCTTCCACCTCAGCCTTCCAAGTAGCCAGAACTACAGGTGCACGCTACCACACCTGGCTGATCTTTTATTTATTGTAGAGACGAGATCTCACCGAGTTGCCTGGGCTGGTCTCGAACCTGCGGGCTCAGGCAATACACTTGCCTCAACCTCCCAAAGTGCTGGGATTATAGGCTGAGCCACCAAGCTTGGCCATAACAATGTTTCGACCAACAACAGACTGAATACATAAAGGTGGTCCCATAGATAATATTGCATTTTTTACCATACCTTTTCTATGTTTAGACACACAAATACTTACCACTGTGTTACAGTTACCTACAGTATTCGGCACAGTAATACGGTGTACAGATTTGTAGCCTGGGAACAATAGGCTATACCAACATCTGGGTGTGTGGTACCCTATGCCATCTAGGTTTATGTAAGTGAACTCTCTCCACGATGCTCAGATAACATCGAAATCACCTAATGATACATTTCACAGAACGTATCGCCATCGTTAAGCAACATGTGATTACATAGGGGAGATCCCAAAAAAAAACAGAATTATCGTTTGGAGGGCAGGCCCCTTGCAGTACAGGTTTCCCCCACTAGGAAAGTGTTCTAGGAACTCATCGGCATCCGTATACCAGTTAATGATGTTGTGCATCATGGTTTGTGGAAGAAATGTCCCGAGTTGTGGCAAACAAGTGACTGGTTCTTCCACCATGACAACTCACCTGC